CACTGGGACTACCGGTGTGAGCCACCATGCCTTGCTGAAATTCACCTTTTAAGCTGTACACGTCAGTGGTTTTTAGTATATTCACACACAAAGTTGTGCAGCTATCACTACCATCCAATTTTAGATCATTTTGTCACTTCCCCAAGAATCCCCAGGTCCGTCGGCAGTCAGTTCCATTACCCTTCATCCCAGCCCCTGGCAACCACCAATCTGCTTTCTGTTTCTATTGATTTGGCCAGACACTATTCTTCCGTGCTTCTTATGCATCTCCTCTAATTCCAATGCTACAATTCTCATTTTATGTGGAAAATTGTGGCACCGAGAGGTTAAGTAAATTGTCCAGGGTCACACAATAATTTGATTTACAACAGTAATAATGCAGTAGATGACAACATAGTAGGACACAATTTTGAATTCCATTGTTATGTACCTGAAATGAATACATCCATTTCCCAAGGTATTTTCCCTATTGTTAGTCTTTGCACCCTAGAACTAACTGGATATAGATAACATTTGTTTTCGGAGTAATGGAACACTGTATCAGCAGCATTTGAGAACATAAGAACAGTTAGACATTGGAAGGAGTTAGGTTTGTTGCCCTTATCCCTCCTTGAACCTCTTTTTTTCCCCTTCCACCACCACCACACACATATACCCCTTTTTCTCAGTCTTAAGAATCAAACAACTTCTGTTTTTTCTTTTTAATTCTCCCACAGGGATGGTTAATGCATCACAATTTAACTTGCCTATTCAGGTATTAATAGTCAAGGGATGCATCTGATTGCTTATCCTATCAGTTATATTCCTATGACCTTAGAGAGTGGTAGTTTGAGAATAGAATGCCTTTCTATTTGGGTTAAACTAGGTGGGAGGAAGAAGTAACAGAGTAAAGGCTTTGCCTTAATAAAGTCAGGTGTTCTGCCTGCTGGGAAGTGGCCACACCGCTGCTCTTGTTTACTCTGTTCCTTCAAAGCCTTTGTACTTTGCCATCACTGCTGGTAATTTCTTGGTCCTTTTCGATACTCCATTTTAATCTTGTTTTTTTCTATAAATAATAAACCTGTGAAAAGAAATCTGTAAAAAGATTTGTGACTATTAAATGTGCAAATAAAAACACTGGAAAAATAATTTGTGTGTGCCTGTTCTTGTACTGAAGGCACAGAGATACTTGCTACATACCGATTTCAGATATATTGTCATCTGACAATATTGAATGCTGTGTAGATTGCAGGGAGCAAGTAAGAAAGGGAAGTCACACTTACTGGGCAAATGCTATATATCATGCCAGGTACTTTATTAGTTGCTTTACAAACAGTATCTCCTCTGAGCACAGCAGCCTTTGAGATCAGAGGCATTATCCTTAAAGTTGGATCTGGCTGCATTTTGAGGCTCACACCTGTAATCCCAGTGCTTTGGGAGCCTGAAAAGGGAGGATCTCGAGCTCAGGAGTTCAAGACCAGCCTGGGCAACATAGGGAGACTGTTTCTTAAAAAAAAAAGAAAAAAAATAGCCAGGTTTGGTGGTGTGCGCCTGTAGTCCCAGCCACTCAGGAAACTGAGGCGGGAAGATTGCTCGAGCTCAGAAGTTTGAGGATGCTGTGAGGTGTGATGGTGCTTCCCCAGCCTGGGTGGCAGGCTGAGACCCTGTGTCAAAAAAAAAAAATATGAGAGATCTGGGGCTCAGAGGTTAAATTGCCCAGAGTCACATAGTGAATGGTGCAACCAGAATTCAAACTCAGGTTTTATGACTGCAAAGCCTGGGTTTTTTTTTTTTTTTTTTTTTTTTTTTTTTTTTTTTTTTTTTTTCTATATTGGTTCTTTGCTAAATTAAAGCTATATCTACCCACTTAAGTGAAGCTAAGCCAGGTCAATTGGGCAATTTAGGAGCTTCGTGAGAAAAACTGGGTTTTCAGCTTTCTGCTGGGGACTATACCTGTTCCTGCTCTTGGCTTATAAACTACTTGGAGAAACAAAATTCCACATTGCCCTACACACATAATAGTGGGAAAATGTCATGGCTTTTATTTTTGGTACCAAATAGCAGAGTGAATCACTAAAAACAAGAAGCCTGTGAAGTATTGAGAGAATTTGTATCATCCAAGAGGAGAGGAGGAAGGGCATTCCTGATGGTAGAGAATACTTATAAGCAAAGGTAAGAGGAAGCAAGCAGATCTGTCTGTACAGCTGCTTGCGTGCACATGTGAGAGTGTGGCACCTTGTTCTTTACATAGTCACAATGCATTGTTAAACACTTCATTTTCCTAGCTGCCTTTATTTTATGTCACTCTGCAAAGTAGATAAAGCTAATTAACTTATCTTAATAGCTAAAGAAATAGGCTCAGAGAATTATTTCCTGGGTTACAAAGTCAGTCTCAAGAATACAATTGGTTATT